GATGCCAGGTCACACTGCACCCCGGTCTCACTGGTCAATATCCCGAAGGAGATGGTCTCGGTGGCGGCGTCCTTGGGTATTTCCCCGGGGGGTGGGCAGGGTGCGTTCTGGGGCCCGGGGTACCCGGCGATGGTGCCTCGCTCCAGATACCACAGCTGCTCGGCGAGGCAGCAGTGTACTCCCACGGGGGTGGCCCTCAGGATCAGCTGGATGAGGTCTGGGAAGAATGTGGGGAACTGTTTCGCCAACCAGCGCATGGTGGTGGGGTGGTGCTGCAGCGGGGCCCACAGGGGACCGGTGGGCATGGGCGCCAGGAACCGTATGGTTCCGGCGGCGTCGATCGCCCGGTCGGTGTCTTCGAGGAAGTGCCCGTGCTGATCCCCTCGGCGGTGGGTCGCTTTCACGACGAACTCCCACGGGCTAAGGTCGAAGCCCGGGACGTACTCTGTCATCCACCTCAGCAGGCTGCCATACTGGGCGAGTGGCCTCCAGATGGGGTCGTCGGGGAACGACGAGCTGAACCCTTGCCGTGCTTCCAGGAGGTCGTCCAGCGCGTAAAACGCGTTGGTGTCGGCGGCTCGTTGGGCCCGGGCGGGGGCGTCGGGGTCGGTGGGCGGCCTGGGGGTGGAGAGGTCCTCGACGATGACAATGTCGTCGTCCGAATCCTCCCTCAGCAGCAGGTCCTCCATCTCGCTGCTGATTTGTCGGTCCTCCGCGGGCAGGTCGCCAGGGTGACTCATGTCGGCTCTAAAACAAACGGTATAAAATTTAGGTCGGTATTCCTCCCTCCGGTACACGGGGACGGTCGTCGGGCCACACATAGGGTTTCAGGTCCTGGGTGGACACTTTGCCCCTGGGGCGGCCGTGCAGGCCCACAAGCTCCATGACGGTAGGGGAGATCTCCCTCTGAATCGCCCACGGTCCCTGGTAGGGGGTGCACAAGGATGCGGTGAAGTTCTTGGCGGCGCTGGAGAGCGCGTGTCTTCGTGCGAGGACTAGGTCCCCCTCTCGGTAGGTGACGGCCCTTCGCCTCAGGTTATAGTAGTGGGCTTGTCCCCTGTGGGCCTCCTCCAGCGCATGAGTAATGACTCCCCGTATGGTGTCAATCCTCCTCATGCGGGCCTCCCATTCGTCTGGGAGGGGAGGTGTCACCTCCAAACTCCCCAACTCTTTTCTTCGAGATTTCGCCGGGATCGGCTCTCGCCCAAAGTTGGCAAAGGCGGGAGTCATGTTGGTGGAGCTATGGTGGGCCGTGTTGTAGGCGAAGCGGAACTCGCACAGGTGCTCGTCCCACTCTCGGTGGTCTTCGCCGAGGAATGCACGAATCATGGTTTTCAGCACTCGGTTGACCCTTTCCACTGGGTTCGCCTGAGGATGGTAGGGCGGGGTGGTGTGTAGCTGCGTCCCCGCCTGCTGAGCCATCGCCCTCAGTTCTTTGTTGGCGAACTCCGTTCCGTTGTCGGTAAGCAGGATGTGTGGCGCTCCCCACCGGTTGATCACGACATCCTCGAGGCACTCCCGGATCTTCTTCCCGGTGGCCTGTCGTAGGGGACACACTTCGATCCTCTTGGTGTACAGGTCTTGGGCTACCATGATATAGCAGAACCCTGCCTTGCTGCGGGTGAGGGGTCCCACTATGTCGGCTGCTACCGTAGACCACGGCCCCTGGATCCTCCTCGGGCTCATTTGCCCAGCCGGCCGGGCCTGATCGGCCTTGGTCTTCTGGCACCGGTCACACTGACGGACGAAGGTCCGGACATCCCTGGACATCTTCGGCCAGTAATAGCTCTGGGCCAGTCTCCGGTAGGTTTTGTCGGTGCCTGGGTGGCCTGCCTGCGGGGAGCAGTGGCACTCCTCCAGGACTCCCGAACGATACTCCTTGGGCACTACTAATTTCCAGGCCTCTAGGTCCGGTATTTCGCCGTCGTACATCTCGTTGCTCCGGTGGAAATACAGCTGGTTGTTGTCCACTCTCCAATCGGAGAATTGGAGGGGGCAGCGCTGGACCTCCTGTCGCCTTCGCAGGTACCAGGCGTCCTGGGTATGGTTCCAGTTGTCTTCCGCCTTGATGGTCTGGAGGATTTCCTCGGCGTGGGGGCCTTCCGGGATGCGGGAGAGGGCGTCCGGGACGTGGTGCAGGGCGCCCTTGCGGTGAATGACTTGGAAGTCATACTCCATCAGTTCCAACGACCACCTGGCTAACCGCCCGGTCGGGTTGCGGAGTTGGTGGAGCCATCGCTTCACGGTGATCACCGTGAAGTGATACCCTTCGAGGTAGCAGCGGAATTTCCGGATGGCCCATATGACCGCTAGGCATTCCTGCTCGGTAGTGGTGTAGTTTTTCTCGGGGTCGGCCAAGGCTCGACTCGCGTATGCGATGACTCTTTCTTCCCTGTCCAACTCCTGCGTTAGGACGGCTCCCAGCCCCACCGTACTGGCATCGGTCTGGAGAACGAACTGCTTCGTGAAGTCAGGACACGCTAGCGTTGGAGGCAACACTAGGTAACTTTTTAGCAACTCGAAGGCTCCGTTCTGCTCGGTACCCCACTGCCAGGCCTGGTTCTTCTTGGTGAGTCTGGTCAGGGGCTCCGCGATAGTGGCAAACGTCGGTATGAAGCGCCGGTACCAGGAGGCCATCCCCAGGAAGCGTCTCAGCTGCTTCATTGTCTGGGGAATAGGGTAGTCGACTATGGCGGAGGTTTTCTCCAGGTCGACTTGGTGTCCCTTCTCGTTGACTAGGAACCCCAAGTATTTAACCTGGGAGCGACAGAACTCGCTCTTCTCTCGGTTAATTATTAATCCTGCCTCACTGATCTTCTTTAACACCCTCTGCAGCCACTGGAGATGCTCGTGGAAGTCCCTGGTGACTATGATGATGTCACCCAGGTACACGAACACGTGCGGATACATCTCGGGACCAATCAGGCGGTCGATTAGCCGTTGGAATGTGGCCGGGGCATTGGTTAATCCGAAGGGCATTCTCCTAAATTGGAAAAAGCCTCTCCCGGGTACGATAAAAGCTGTGACCTCCCTGGACTCCTCGGTCAAGGGTACTTGGAAGTACGCCTGGCTCAGGTCCAAGGTGGTGAGGTACCGGGCCTGTCTTAACTCATCCAGAATCCCTGTCATATTGGGGATGGGGTAGGCGTCCTTCTTGGTAACCTCGTTAACCTTACGGAAATCGATACAGAAACGGTACTTGCCATTCGGCTTCTTGAGCATCACCACGGGGCTAGCCCACTCGCTACGCGATGGCTCGATGACCCCGTCCCTGAGCATCTGGTCCACTTCCTGCCACATAATCTCTCTCAGGGCGGGTGTGACCGGTCGTGGTTTTTGCTTGATCGGGGCGTGTTCCCCGACGTCAATAGCATGCTCGGTTAGCGTGGTGATTCCCAGGCCTCCAGAGCTCTGGTTCAGCAGACCTTCCAGCTAGGCATTCTGCTCCTTGGTCAACGTCCTCAGGCCGCAACATAGCAACACTCGCAGGGGCTGGCGGGCTGGGGTAAACGGTAGACCGTGGCTGGATCCTCCCGATACCATCGGGTCTGGGCCTGGAAGTCGATTACCATCCCGGTAGCTGCCAGTGTCTCCAACCCTAGGATGACATCCTCCGTTAGTGGGGCCAGAGCGAGGGCTCCTAGCTGGATCCCTCGGTCGTCGAGGTAGGCGGGCGTGCGGTATATTTCTAACACGTCCTCTTGCTGGCCGGCGGCCAGGATGACCTTCCTCGCGGGTACTGGCTGAGGTTGGACCTCCATCTTCCCCAGGTGCTCTATGACCTTCCTGCCCACGAAGGTTTGCGACGCTCCAGAGTCAATCAGCGCGCGGAAGGGTTGGCCAGCGATGACAATTGTGGCATGGAATGCTCCTTTGGTCCTGGCAATTGCACAGGAGCTATTGTTCCCCTGGCTATCCGCTGGTGTGTCAGCGAAACGGACGTGGGGCGCCTCCCTTTGACAGTGGGGGCACCTCCGCGTCGAAACTCCGGACTTACCACATAGACGGCAGAATTGTCGCAGTTGTTCGGGGCATCCCCGGTACAGGTGTCCACTCTGATGACAGTTGAAGCACTGCACTCTGTCGGTACTTGTTTCCCTAGGGGCTGGCCTCTGAGCCGTTAGGCTTGGGCCGCCAACGCCTGGCTGCATGGTAACTCGCTCCTGGGGAGTGGCTGCTCGTGGTGCCCGCGGGGCTCGGTACGGCGGTCTCCTTTGCTGGCACCTCAGGGCTTTGAGCCTCTGCTCTAGCCATGCCATCTCCTCTTCCGCATCGCCCTCGGACTCGGTGTCGGTGTCCGGGGTGATGTTGCCCGCCGACTTATAGGCGGCTGGCGCTGCATACGCCTCCATTCGCCTCAGGTGGAGCTTTGGGGCGGCTCGCCCCTTATTCCTCGGTGGGCGATAGGCGTATCCTGGGCACAGGGCCGCTTCGGGCGCTGGCGGTGGCCTTCTCGTGTCCGTGGAGAAGTAGATACTCTCCTGCCGGACGGTCCTATCCTCCAACTCCTCGAGGCTCGTCTGCTGGTCTACCTGCACCCAGACTCGGTAGGCAGGCAGCAGGTTGGCGTGGATCGTCTGCACCTGCTCTCGCTCTGTCCATGGGGGGTTCAAGCGGGCCATGAGGCCTCCCATACAGGCGAAATACTCCCCCACAGGCTCCTGGTCGCCCTGGGTTCGGCCGTCGATTTCTCGGCGCAAGGTGCGTTGGTAATCTGGGTCGCCGAACCTCTTCCTCAAGGCGGCGGTTGTCTGGCCCCAGGTGGTCACTCCTCCTACGTGGGCCCGCCACCAGGTTAGCGCGATGTCTCTCAGGTAAAAGGGAAGCACCTTCAAAAGCGTTTCATCGCTCACTGTGAAACAGGCTAATCCCTCTTCTACTCGGCCGATAAAATTTTCGATATCCTCGCCTCGACGGCCAGTGAAGGGGGTGACATCCCACTTCTGCATGAGCGTTAGTAGGGCGCCAGTGGCCAGGGGCCGCTCCCTGGTCGGTCTGGCTTAGCCGTCGAGTTCCTCGTCGGAGGTCACCCTGAACTCACTCGGATCTGGGCGCACGGGTCTCCGATGTTGGCGGTAGTCCGGGTCCCTCTCCCTTGGCGGGTGGCCTCGGGGGGGTCCGCGGTATAGTGGTGGATCCTCACGGCTGGGTGGCGCTCGCCCGGGCCGTGGCTGTTCTGGGAAGGGAGGGGGAGGCTCCTGGAAAAGTTGCCGCGTGTCCGGTCGGACCGGTGGTGGATCCCGGAGCAGTGGTGGTGGTAGTCCCTGGTATTGCTCTGGGAGATCCTCAAAGGCTGGTGGAGCGTCTCTCCCGCGCTCATCCGTTCGGCGAGAGGCCCTGACTGACCTCCCCGAGTGGGCATCCGAGGTGTCCGAGGGGGTCGGCTCTTCGACCCTGAGGTCGGGTAGATTTGCGTCCTTCCTTGGGCGCCCTCGCCCGCGGCGCTGGTCGTCCCCTGCCGGGTCTGGCCCTTCGGCCATGATTCCCCGCGCTGTCGTTAAGCGACTCGATACGCCCTGGGGCGACTCAGGTTGACCGAGGGTTTCCCCTTGGCTAACTCAGGTCTCTTCCTCCACAGGTGGTTCGTCGATCTCGCGATACCTCTCTCACTTCCGGGGGGCTGACTACGCGACTTGGGTCAACTGCCCCCGGTGGTGATTCCCCTGGGGTTTTCCTGAGGGCTGACTCTGGCCAACGCCGGTCGGCCCTGTATTCCCCTGGGTGGTTTCGCGATATCACCGTGCGGCTAACCTTCCGACTGGCTCACTACGGCTCCCCGTAACGAGCCCCCTATCCGAGGGGTTGACTCAGCTTTTCAGCAGGTCTATCCTCCTCGGGACTCTGATCTTATTCGCCGCTTCTCTGGTGACTCCCCGGCCTCCCGGGTTCGTGGTGGTTCCTATGTGTCACTTCGTGACTCTCGGGGCGGAAGGGGGTCGCCCTCGGACATCGGTATTATCCAGGGTCGCCACCCGGGCTGGAGCCTCGAGGGTAACTCCTGGACATCCTCCTCGCCTCGGGGCCCCTTAGGGGACGCTCTCGGGCAAGGAATCATCGCCCCGGGGCCGACTGCGCGGGCCGAGAGGCCTCGCGGGTCGCCTCTCGTGGGCCGTCCACGCGCTACTGCTGCCCACCGTCGACTGTCTGCTCACGTCTCTCCTATCGCTCCCCTCCTTCTTCCCTCCTGTCCTCTTCTCCTCCCGAGTCGCCCAGGAGCGGGGAAATGTCGGCGCGGTTTGCCCCCGGGAGATTTTCCACCAGGTACTTTGCTTTGCCGGGTACCCCCGCGGCGGTGGGTTTCTTACCGCGACGAGGCCTCCCATCTTCGGTGGTCCATCCCCACGACATTCAGGGGTGCGGGTCATCACTCCGACTTAACTGCGCGTCTCCTCCCCCACAGATCCTTGCCTGGTCTGCAGTTTCTCTAGCCTCTGGCAAGCTTGGCCCTTTCTAGGGCGGAGGACCTTGCCGGGCACGTATTCGGCAGATGACTCCTGGGCACTCCACGGTATCCATCCGGTAATTCCCTCCCCGCTGCCTCTAATGGATTAATTACTCTTTATTCTATGGCTATCTATTGTACTTTCTGCTGGGTATTTCCCGTCGTTATTCGCGCTTCTATTTTTCTGCTCTCTCTCATTCACGCTTTCATTCATTCCTTACCTTCCCGCCGGCCGTTACAATTATTCTCTTTTCTCTTCCTCTTAATTATTTACATTTCAATATTCGCTCGTTGTTCGCGCGGGTGATGAATTTGGGGTTCATCACAGTATTTTACTGTTCCGTACTAATCTCCAGCGGGAGGTGTCATGAGCTGACAAATCTAGTATCAAATCAAATGCGAAGACTCAATATCTATGAGGGTAATCTCTCCGGTCAACACCATTACCATTGTTTAGGACAAGCATAGGCAAAGTCGAACCTTCGGGAGACGGGGCCATAAAACCGTATTCAACCCATTCTTAGAAATACAATACCCCAATTGCGTGAAACCCAGCGTAGTCAGGGTGGGAGTAGCAGCGTGCATGAAGTCGGGCGCAGTTAAACAGAGAGAGCGCCGTGCGCTTTCTTGTAGAATTTAAAAAACCTTAGCGCTCAAGAATTCGAACAAATTTTCACCAATTCAACGTGAAAAATCCTTAGTCCTATCGGGGGTAATTGTTAAACCATTGATCATTTCTTGGTTGCCTTAATGATGAGTAATTATTTCATTAAAAATTGAACAAAATATGCAATGGCACTTTTTTAAATTGAATCAATAAATTATGAGTGTAAGGTTTATTTTATAAGTTTTGCCCACTCTTCGCCAGATTACACATTTTTTAGTCTGTGAATATTTTTCAATTACCTTTTTGCTCGATAACTCCCTGCAGCTAATTATTTTTATGTTTTTCTGCTGTAATTATTCATTTTCGCGGTTAACTGGAAATGGATGGATTTTCAAATGGTTAACAGTGGGATCGATATAATGAAAAAAATCGAACAAGACATGAAATGATGGAATTCAAATTTTTTGTTTCTTTGTACCTTTTCAAGGTGAAAAATCTTTGAAATTTTTTCAGTACTTCTTAGGAAATTGTAACACTTTTCCCGACCTTGTCCCGAAGATCGGCGATAGTTATTACCTTCGCCCGTTCCCGTGCTCGCATCCTAAAATCCAACCGAATTACTGCGGGCGCCAGCTAGCTTTTTATGGACCAAAAGCTAACGAAAACCGAAAGAACCGAAACAAGCCCTGCCTTGCCCGAAGTCGGCTGACCTCATTAACCTAAAATCCCGAAATATCCAAAATCAAGAGCACGAAAGGACAGGAGGAGGGGGGTTGGAACTCGTCCTCGCGACAACACAAAATCCGTAAATCCATAAATCCAAAAACCGGAGAGTCCGTACTCCCAGAACTAGAACGATAACCTCGTTACCGTAAAACTACCCGCGAGAAGCTAGAAGCTGATGACGAATGGAACGGAAGCGGGAAGACCTGGGTGCTCAAGATGCTAGGTCGTGGAGAGAGGGCCAGGGTCCACGGATTCGCGACTATGATAACCGAAATCTAGACAGGGAACAGATCGTGGTTCGGGATACCGAGAGCATACCTGCGGGGTTCGGGGACGCTGAGGGCGACCTCGGAGAACACCTCGCCGAGAGAGCGACGTAAGGTAGCAAAGTGCCGGGAGGCCGAGAGCGTGGGGATTACTAACCCAAAAGCACACCATCGGGCCCACTAGGGTAGCCCCATATGTAGAGAGCCTCACTGGGGAGAGTACGGCTCTCACCCAGAGAACACCAGGAAGAACATGGCCCTCCCCTAGAGAACACTACCCGAGGACGGTATTGCTCTCACTCAGAGTACTCAGAGTACTCCCGGGGAGAGGATGATCCTCACCTAGAGAGCGTAGAAGACCAATGCTGGGCATTGGGAGCCAGCTAAGGGCTCGCGAGAGAGCTGCCAGTGGTCCGCACTGGGAGCCAGCCGAAGCGGCTCTGCCGAGTGAGTCGACAGTGTCGGCAGTAGTGCCGATGCCTCCCCACTCTCGACTACGGCTGGGTGAGCTGCCGTGTGCCGGGACGTGCTGCCCTCGCCGTAGGGAGGATATCCCTGAACCTAGCTTCTCCTGGAGCGCGCCGAATTCGAACGTCGCCACTGACCCCTTCGAACAACCCCTTCGAAGGATCAGCCGTCCGAATGCCTACCCCATCTAACATGGAGCGCTCATACGTCGGTATGAGTCCTATGCTATGTGCCAGGAAGTCTCATAGGGGAGCTGGGAATGTTTCCACGTGTCCGCCCTGTGCTGTTGCCTGTCTCCAGGCCTCCTAATACCCTAAGCACTCGGGCCCCAGTCCCCACACCCCTCGACGATTCGAGTAATTCCCGGCAACGAGTCGAGATGTTAGAAGTTTTTAGAGAACTTAACCCAAAGTATAGTTTAATGTGCGGGATTTCCAAAAATCCCGTTACAAAATGTTCAAACAATATCAACAAAATCCTTTTTTCACCAGTGTTTTTCAATTCATTTGCCGTCAAAATATTCAATTCTGAGCTATTTAATCAACGGATTTTTATGTGGAAGTTGATATAGAAAGAAATGATTCATTGACACTTTTTAATAATGCAAAATACAGCAATAAATATATTCATATTTTTTGTTCAAAAATTCAGATTTTTGCGCGTTGACTAACGTAACGATACTCCCACTCTGACCCGAAGTATAGACGCTCCGTCTACCTGCACCATACAATAGGACCCATTCTTTTATAGTCATTGGCCTACTTCGGATTGGGAGCTAGGATAGCCCATTGAGAGCACTGTGCCCATGCTTGGTTTAGAAAAAGCAGACTGGTGCCTGAGAAGATGGAATTCAATGACTCCACATATAATTCATTCCAAGTGAACACTGGCTGGAACACTGGCTGTAGAGCTTTCCATGGTATTTGAAGACTATCCACATACCAGGATATATGATTCAGAGTAAAATGTTAAAAGTTGAAGGGGTTAAATCTTTTATCACCCACCATTGCATGATTGTTAAGGAACTCAAAGATGATGCGTCCTAGGAGCTGTCTTGTTATAAAGTTATCCAAGGAATAGCCGCATCCACCTATTGGTATTGAGACACATTTCACTTCAACTCTTGTAACAGAGTATTTGGCTGTTTTTTTCCAATAAAGTCCTTGGGTGGCATAATAATAATCGGAGGGTCACATTCATTGCTCGTATAGTCACAGATGTTTCTGTCATCTTAGTGATCAATGCACTATTTGTGCTATCCGTTAAACAAAAATTGTATTTTGATGGAAGCAATCGGATAAATATTTACACCATTTAACAATACTTGGTCTTGATTGAACGCATTGCAATCTAAATGACGTGTGAGGTCAATTGCCCCCATTGTTTCAACATGCTCTACTTAACCTTAAGCCCTCATTACCTTCACCGGCGTCACCCATATTACCCGCTGTATCGTCTGACCACAACACACTAGTTCAGTGCGAATTCTTCCTATCGCCGGCATAATTTGAAAGTCTTTCTATATAAGTGTGATGAACGTATGCATGATTGGTAGACGTCACGGCATTCTAATTGGAGGAAATATCAATTGGATCGAATACCTTTGGAATCCGTCCGTAATCTTTCATGAAACATTCGAAGTGTTCCTGAATAATATTAGGGAACATTAATTAGCAACTACTCGGGGATACTACATTCTTAAACCGACAGTGATCAGTTTCTTGCATTTCGAGGGAATTAGTAGTAATCGTTGGTGAATGGTGGGTATGGCCGTAATAATTATTAGTGACTATTAAAAACTATCGAGAACATAGACTCAATTCAAGAAACAAATTCAATCAAAACAACCAAGTGAAAGACTGGTACTCCACCTAAGCATCTGTGATAGTGTACTGACAGTCATCGGGCAGAGAAAGAAGCTGGAACCACCATAAGGATTCACAGCAATTAATTGATAATCTGTCACAGTGA